AAATACAGTGTAAACTCTATATAACGACACATAAGGGACTGAACATTTTTCGGCGTTATAAAGAGTGGTCGTTAAATGGAGAGAAATAAAAGATATTATTTTACTATTCTATAATAATGTGCATTTACCAATGTAGTACACATTTTGCACACGAACATTATTATTCATACATTGCGTATAGCCTGTTAGCTTCGTCTGATGTTTTTTGCTGCTACAATATTTTAATTGTATTTTGTTACGCATCTTACTCATATCTTGAGATACTGCTGGATCAATTTGATTATATAGAAAGTATTTTTTTTAATAGTTTCGCTGCATCAAGTGCTTGTTTGATGCTTGGTGGAGAGACAGGATCGTCTTCTTCAACAACGTACACAGCTGCAGTTCTTATCTATTTCGGCAATTTAGTAAGTACTGCTTAATGGTTTATAATGCCGCATTGTTGTCGTTAAATAGAGTGAGCGTGACGCTATATAGAGTGTAATATTGTATGGAAAACAATGTAAACCAACAAAAGTCAAGCAATTTCGACGTTTTAAGGATGTTGTCGTTAAATCGAGTGACGTTATAAAGAGTTTACACTGTAGTTACAAATACAAAATTTAGGGAATTGGAGGACTCCGTAGGGGCTAGGAAGGTTTTTATTATAATAGGTTTTTTATTTAAGTTAAATTGACTACGATCGAATTCCTGTTGTACCCGTGCTGACAATTTATTTGTAAGCACTTTTAAATTTATAATAATTATACGTAATAAAAATAATTCGTCAAGACGACTTACCTGTGAGAGCAGATAGGGTCGCAGGGGCTGACTTTCTTACCCCAGATCTTTCAAAAATATCCTTTACCCTTGTATAAACCAATTCTCGCGGATTATGTAAGTAAAATGATTCACTTTCGATGTTCTCTCCACATGAGCTGTCCGAGATACTCGATGTGCTTCAGGAATATGAACATAATTTAATAACGAAACATGTTTTGAAATTGTGAGTAATTAATAATTACTTTTTTTTTGAATACATGTTAAATTATAAAAATTTAAAATATGAAAAATGGTGTAGAATCCGCTTATAGCGACATCAAACACGTTTTACTATGCGGGCGTCAGACAAAGCTTAGTCTTAGAAAATAAACAACTTTCTTTTTTGGTTACTTATTTAGTTTAATAGAGAGAAAAACTACAAATTGTATATATTTATTAACAGAAAAAGAAAAAGAACGATGAATTGTAATATCAATATACATTATAAGAGTCAGAAAAATGAGCGAAAATGTTAATATTAATCACTTGGGTCATTATAGCCGGATATGATTTCTTGAGAATCAGTCATAATAAACGATATGTCATTTTAAACGGAATCAATATATCGAAACTTTCCTATAGATAATTTAATATGAAAACCAAACTTAACACTGCAATTACTTCATATTAAGCGGTCGGTCAGTATAGGCGGAGTCGTAATAAACGAATTCCACTGTATCATCATTATTTTAAAGAATTTTTAAATTAAAGATTATAAGTATCTGTATTTTAGTACCTGTGTCGATGTATGTTCATAGGGTTGACGTATAGCCCATCTTGGGGTGCATGGGGGGTCTCGATGTTACCGTTGAGTAGTGGGGGGTGAAGATAAAACGGTTCTTGATTTGCGTCAGATGTAAAGAGGCTACAATTGATGCAACTATTGTTTGGTGGGCTGCCCTATTTATAAAAAGATATTTTTTGTAACAAAGTGTATTGCTACAAGAATAACACAGGTCTGCGAAATTTTTTTTTAAAGACTTTTTCTTGAATTGTTAATGTTTGTAGTAATTGTCTTAAAAGTAATAGAAAACGATATTCATATGGTGTATACCACGTCACATTAACCCATAAATGCTCAGAGAACACATTTCCATTTGAACCCTTGCCACGTAATGAGTGCGACGAAAAAGTATTCGATAACCAGTGTTTCTATGTTTTTAACGATGCTCTTTTCGATGGTGTTAGTTAAAATTACCTCCGACAATATTAAAGCATGGAAAAATCGAAAATAAACAAAACAAAACTGATTTTTGAATTGACTTTTTTCTTAAAAAGTAATTTTTTGTGTCCTTACGATTCTTTTATATGCTTAAAACCTATATAAATCATGACCTCGATATCTAAACATGAAATAATCACCGTTGGTCAAGTCGAGATGCCCTTACAAACTGTTTGATAAAACCAAGTTTAAAGTAAAGTGGTGGAAGCAATACTTTTTTGGGATCTTTCAAACTCGTATTAATGGACATTTTTCACTCCGACTTCCAATTGCATTTTAATTTGGACATAGAAATACCGAATAACAATGATTTTGATTTACCATAAGTCCACTGTCTTAACACTTCAATACATAACCGGCATATTTTATCCTAACCCAGTGTTTATCTTGGTAACACAACTTCATTCTGAAGTAAGCTTAATAAGCATTTTTTACAAAGTCTGTTATATTCAATTTTTGCTTAATTATTGTATATTGTCTGCAAATGTAAAAAAATATATTTGAATTGTTTTTACAACTCCGAGAAGCCATAGTTAAAGATAAATGAAACACAATCTTTTATTACACGTTAATATTATATCTCTCTCAATAATGGCGCGCTATAACACAAATAAAAAGAGGTCAATACNTATAAACTATTTCTTTTTCAGGCGGTGTAAACGACGATAGTTACTTTCAGACTATCCATAGTAAAATAAAGTAAAAGACAATATAATGCTCAGTTAAAGACTATTAAATAGAAATATAAACTATAAAATGAATTTTGTGAAAAAACAAATAAATTTGCCGATTCAAAGAGCTATATATACATATATTAATCTACATACAAAAAAAATGTGACGTGATACGTTAAAACAAAGTTTATATTTGCAAAATATAGACCAACATTTGCATGCTTACGATAAATTTATACAAAAAACTTTTTTATCGCAGACCTGTGTAATTTGTGTATATAAATAAAATTGAAGTGCCTGTTTGTATGTTATCGAGACAAAAAATGTTTTGAGTAGGTTAACCTTCAAAACGTCTGGGAATTTTCAAGTGTGAAGATGTTTTAAAAAATTTAAAACAATAAGAAACTCGTGCAGTTACTTCATTACATAAAATTGTGATTTATTCTTAATTGGTAATAAGTGTATCATTAGCAAAAAAAAATAGATACGTAATGTCATTAAAATTAGAATAAAACATAATTTCTTGCTGGTGGTTGGGTACAGATAACAAAAGGCCTTACGTTTGAAATTAATATCCGTTTATTGCCGCTGCATTTTTTAATTTATAAACTAACACCAATCGAAGTCTATATCACCGAATCAAAACTCCACTTACAATAATTACAATTTGCTTTCGTAAATCGGTACAAATCGATTGTGTTTTTTATCATATTTTCCTGTGATACTGCATGCTATAGTGCACAAGTTGTTTTAGAAAACCTTTGAAGTTTACTATCGTTTGTTATTGAAAATTAAAAATTACAACGATTGTGCATACCTGGCTGTGTTCGATTGCAATATCTGATTTTTTAGTTTATTGCATATTGTAGGTAGGCTAACTGGACTAGTGATTAAATGCATATTAGGTATAAGATTTTTTAGAATTTCGAATCATTATTTCGATATTGCAGTTACACTTATTATTATTAGCGTTCTGGGTAGGTATAGGTAGGGTGGGTGCGGAAAACGTT